GTGAATTCCTAATTACAGCAGCACAACGTGTTAAACGCTGCCTCCTCCCTGTCTTAAGGTTAAACCCATTAATATGCCATGAAAGGAAAATGGCAGACGGTGAGGCCTTGCTGACATTGAAGTCACCTATAAACACACACCTGCTTGTCTTTCCTCTCACACACACACAGAGACAAACGTTGAGCCAATTAGACTGATGCCCACAGACGTCTACAGTGAGCTTACCTGCATGCTAAGGCTAATAGTTAATGAGGTGTGCCTGTTATTCCAAGGTGTGCTAACTGCAAGTCTCGTTTTGTCCTTCAAACATGCGAATGCACTGGTGCATCATCAAGCAGGTGCAAACCATTAAAAGAAGAACATCTATTACATCGGCTCAAAAAGCTTCATCGTGTTGGATCACAGACTCACGTTTTCCTTTCTGCTTATAATCCTTCACTGCAGCTAGCTTTGCCAAATCCCGATATAGCGGCTCGGACATTGGGCAGAAACGTGTTGCCAAACTGAAACATGAAGACAGCTCCGAGATTCACTGGAAAAAGCCCAAAGTGTGGGTGAGACAGTGAAACACAGGAAATAACTATGGCCAAAGACAGGGTTGCATTGCTGTATCTGGAGATTGGGACGCAGTATAAACAAAAACATTTCCACAACAAAGGAAACCTCGAGAACCAACCAAACCAGAGACACACTCACACTACCATATTGACAGGAACAGATCTGCACCTACGTGGATCCATTTGTTTGATCTGGCCAGAAAAAAAAAAAAAGGGCTTTTGCATAATCTGCTGTTATTATACGGTTTGTTTAATTACCACAGAAGGGTGAATAATTAACCAAATGAGCCAACTGACCCAAATGCATTATGCTTGCTGAAATATACAGGGCTACGTCACGATGTAGCACTTTAGATGTTATGCACACAAAATGAAAACTAAAAGCAATTTGAAAAAAAAAAAAAAAAAAAAAAAAAGAAACATGTCCAACTGAATATCATTGGGCAACTGACTGCAACTAGACTGTAGACCACAGGAAGTAGACAAGCTGGCCAACCCCCATAAAAACTTCTAGTGATTTATTAAAGTGTCCTTTGCTCCCAGAGTGGCATGAAACCAATTTCCTAGACATGCATCTTGAAACTCTCTGCTTCCGGAGAAAAAAAGGACCCGTGACCACCATTTAATGGCATGTTATTATAAAAGTTGCAGCAGGCGGCTGGAGTTTTACAGCACAGACCTGCAATGGCATTGTGGGTAGTTGTTGATTACACTTTTTGGCAAAATCTATGAAGTCAAACCTAGAAAAACAAAGCACAGATGTTGCGTGCCTCATAAGCAGCATGGGCAACTTGTTGATGGTTGAGAAAGGGGGATTTAGGCCTGAAGTGCGTACTCAACCTCAAAACTAATGCTCACCAAGCAAAAACAAAGCACGGGGGGGGCCTCTGCTATCTGCAGCTTAATCTCCGACGGACTGCTGCATTCAAACCTCCTCACACACTGCGGATGTAAAAATGTCCGATACAACTGCTGCAACACAGACATCAGAGGTATTAAGAAGCAGACGTTGTGGATGAATGAACAGGCAATGAGGCGCCCAATCTGTGGTCCAATCACTGGTTATGAAAAGCTCACACTGCTATAGTGAGGCGCGTCATTAATACAATTAATCAGGACTGGCTGAGATATTGCACGTGTCGGTTAAATGAAATGCCAGCCATAGATCTTTCTCCTGAAGACACGAGGACAACAAAGCAAAAGGCATGGCAGCCGGAGGAGAAACAAAGCCGTTCGCAAACGAATACACAAACTCAGCTGTTTTAAGCACACGAGTGGGCAGTTTGACAACACATCGGATTCACCCGTGAGCTCTGAAAGCCACTTCTGAGCGCAAACCCTTTCAACCGGGAGCTGAAGTAACTTTCGTCAGGCAACTTTGTTCTCTGGGACGCTCCATCAGGAGACGCGTCGGCCTGCAGCGAGTTCAAAGACTGCGCCGCTCCTCAGATGGAGGCTGCCGATAACGGAAGACGTGCGATACGAGCAGACGGGGAGATGACCGGCAGCGCTACGGGGGCCGCCCGTTAGGACCACACGGGAGCCGAGAAACAGCAGGTGTGTGCGGGGGTGTAGGAGAAAGATGGTGCATAATGTGGGGAACGTGCATCATCCAGTGTGTCTTTCTACTCTCACTGAATATCTGTCTGTGTACACACTGGAAACCGACCGTCTTCACAAGAATAGCAAAGTGTGGGGAACTGACCACTTAGAGAGAATAACACCACGTACTTGGTAATGCGTGTTTGTGTACTGTGAATAACCGCGTCTCCATCACTTCCTATTCTATAAGGACCTATGGAACACATTAAAAATAGATGTCTCACTCTCACTGCGACAAACACACACACACACACACACACACACACACACACACACACACACACACACACACACACGTTAATAATACCCAACTAAGTACCAAAGTTCAGCCCCGCCGTTGCTTAGGGAGCAGGTTTCAGTACCTGCAGTGAGAGCTGGGTTCAGCTCGGAAGTGGGGACTGGCACAATGTGAAATGCAATCACAACACATAGCAGGGGAATGCAAGGACAGGAGGGCAGGGAGGGGGAGAGGGGGTGTCTGGAACAAGAAAAATGGAAGATGAGGTTGTGAGAAAGTGAGACCCCTGGTGATAATCTGCAAATGATGCAGGTTTGATCCTTCAGTTGTGTGTGTGAGACTTCTTATAAATGCCTCGTACTTGTGAGCATGAGATGGGTACCGAAACCCGGGATTAAAGATAAAGTATTGATGAGCTCTGAAGTCATTTATCATCACACCGCAGCATCTCCTCTGCTCTCTGTGTCAGGGCTGAGCTCCTCCAATATAAACATGTAGAAAAGCCAAATTTCAATCTGTACCGTCTCTCATCCACCACCGTGATATTAGCCAATAGCCAATTATTACAAACAAGCTAAAACAACAGCTGTCTGAATGTAGTCTAACTGTTTAGCAGGTTTGGCACATCTCTTAAATTGTGGCTAATTCTAGTAAACGTCTCTGCTGGCTGACACAAAGCAGCCCTCCTCTCTCTGTCAGCGTTACCTGCAGGCGGTGAATCACATCAGCAGAGGGAGAAGGACACGATGAGGCTGATGCTGACTGATGTCTGTGTTCTTCATTCTCAATCAAAGTAGAACTCAGTGCTGTGATGTCATGACGTGATGTATTTTAGATGGTTTCCATTGAGATATGAATGACTTTATATGGGGACTTTGCTGTGGTAAACATTACTGTTGCTGCTCTAGAAATGAAAACGAACAGAAAAGGGTATTGAACCGAACCAATAATGAGAATCGAGAAAATCCTAACGATACCCATCCATGCTTGAGAGGACCAATCCGGTGCCGGAGATTCTGAGAGATTCTGCTTTTACTGTTCATGCAGAGATCTCATGGAGTAATCTGCAATTTCACCCAAAAAGCCTGTACCTTGTTTATTGTCCTTCCATAATTGTTAATAATAAGAAAATGATCGTCTTACTACTAATTATGAGTCTATGATAATCTTTCTATCGTACCTTCCACCCGGTTTTTTAGGGTCTTTTCCCGTGTATTCAAGCAACGAGCTTGTAAAAAGTTGCTGTCCTATACCAGCCTCTGGTAATCGATTACTGAATCTTGAATTGAAGGTTTGGAAAATCTTCTTCCGGCAATCGTCAACAGCGAGCGCTCTCGCACAGACGTGATGGAGCTTGTAATGCGTCCTTTGTACCGCGTCGATCGAGGTCCTCTCAAGAACACTGAGCGGGCGTGTGCGTGAGCGTACAAGAGTGCGTGCTGTACTCTTGTTGGCACCAGTCGTCCGCACATTGTCGTTTAAGGAGCGACATAAAAATGTGCAGGGAAAAGTCATGGCAAGCTGCTGCCGCTCTTAGACAAAGTAAACTACTGAAGCGAGGTCGCATCATGAGTCTGGCATAAAGTTTCTCTCTCATATAACCGTGTCTCCATCAGTATCATCAAGGTCATTTCTTTAGCAAAGCACCAGCCTCCTCTTCCCCGCTATCCATTCCTCAACTGGGCCATTACCTGAAAAGGCCATTACCTGAAATCTCCTCTGAGACATGAGGCTTGACTTTTAAGTGATGCTGTCATACTGTAGTTGAGCCAACTTTTCGGCAACACTAAAGCCAGACCGACTGTGATATAACTGTTTTCAGAAGGCTAAATACAAGGGGAGCTTTCTTGCTTTTTTTTTTTTTTTTTTTTTTTTTTTTAACCGAAGCAGAGTGCACAATTGGTGACAATAATCATAAAATTGGTCTCGACAGATGCACTCAAAAACTGTTCAAACACTCATTTCTAGAATTGCATTTGCTGTCTGCACTGTTGACATCTATTTCCACCCATTTTTTAAATTGCATTTTCATTTTCACAGGTTTTGCACAGCACTAATGTCCCCTTCATTTGAATCACAAGTAGATGGCGCATTAACATTCCTGCGGAGAATCCAGTGGTTTTGCAGACCGGTTACAGACGGAGAAAATGAATCGCATCGAGGGGGGGAGGGGGGTTTGCTCAGACTTCCTAAATACAACCCGATGCTTGAGCGTCCTCGCCAGAGAGGCTTTTATTTATTCAGTTGCAGTGAGCCATTTTTCAAACAAGTGGTCAAAACTCTGCAAAGTCAACGTCCCGACACCTGCCTTGACACCTTAAGAGGAAATACTGCTTCTTAGTGAAAAAGCTTCCTCACCATCATGCCGCAGCCACATGAATATTATCTATATTTAAATACACAGCTATTCGTTTGTATGCTTAATGATTAAAACATGATTAAGTAGGGGTTCTCTCCATTCATTCAGGACCTTTTTCAGTGCATCCTGAACCTTGGGGAAATGCCTGCATCACATTGAAATGAAAAAAATAAAAAACAGCAGAAATCACAAGAGCTTTGTGGCTGACTGGTATTGGCGTCAACACAAAAACACACTAACGTACCTTTTTGGCGAGGTTGACGGCGTCAGCGTGAAGTCGGTTTCTCAGATGAGGGTCCAGTTGGAAAGCAGGAGCGATCTCCACCACCTTCAAAACAACAGCAGTCTGTTTATAATACACGGATAGATAGATGCACATATTTCAACAGCTACACATGCTGCCCCTTGAACAGCTTTGTCAACTATGAACAATCATGGTAGCATCTGGGTAACACAGCTTGTCAGTTTTTAATTCGTTTGGACACCAACGCTGGAAATGCACTAATTCTCTTGGACGTTTGAGGTCTGATGTGTTAAAAAAGCAGCACTCAAATGATCATTGAAAGGAAACTTGAATTTTAAAAAGGCACGGACAGTAGTGAAGCGCGGGTCAGTGCTTTTTAATACCCGCATTCACCCGACCCCTCTATGAGCGCCAATCCGAACCGCCCCAACCCACAGAAACATGCGTTAGTCAGCTACCTGAAAGCGATCAATCCTTGACCCGCCCGTCCAAACCCGTAATATTTACTAGTAAGCTTTGGAGAGAAACCTGGCTGACCCGCATCACCAATAGACAGTGTTTTAAGATAGCCTGTATCACTTTCATTTAATGGATGTAATTCTTTGAGGGCTCCCTGCCATTAGTAACTGCAATGCAAACACAATTTGGAAAAATAGTCACTGAGTGCATTGGCCTTTCTGTAGCAGAACATGATACATTATGTTCACCTGCTCCGTCTGCCATTTGGCACGGGTCAAGCACAGGGGAGAGAGAGAGAGATAGATAGATAGATAGATAGATAGATAGATAGAACTATTCAAAATGTCTCCCAGTTTACTACTGGTCCTTAAAACGGACAGTGAAACTTACAGTTGGCTTCCTACCAACATTTAGTAAATACCATAATTTGTTTTCATTTTGCCTAAAGCAGCCATCAGTTTGATACAGTACGTGTCACGTTAGCTTCAGAAGAACAGATGGAGTGAATCATTTGAAGTGACATTCAGCCTTTCATTGGCTGCTGGGTGGGAGGGGTCGGCCATGTTGGAGGCAGATCGGTTTCATTCCACTGCATCCAACAAGTTAACCCATCCAGAAGAAATAACTGAATCCAGTGCAAAACAACGTGATCCGTGGCCGAAATAGAAAAAAGAAATTAAATTTTAAAAAAAAAAAAAAAACTACATCAAATGATGTCCCCCCCCCCCCCCCCAAAAAAACCCTCTCCAAGTATGAATAGCACTTCCAAGACAGAGAAAAGCTAAAAATATCTGCGCTCTACCGTCCCTAATCTATTTCAACAGGCAACTATTCTTGTTTCTGAGATTCAAAAAGATCTTAGATTAAGGGCAAAGGCAGATTAAGTCTCACAGAATCAAAGAGCAGCAGCTCTGGCACCAACAGAGCCGCTAATATGATTATCATCTATAATTTGATTAAAAGGGAAGGAAGAAAGTGATGAAAAGACATGATTGAAAGCGCTTTGAGGTGACAATACGTAATGAAATATTACACTTGTTAATCAACTTCCTCTGATGAAAGCATTGTTATATTGAGTGACTATTTCAATTTTCCCTCTCGTTTGGCATTCAGACCTTTTTGTTATTTTGACAATCAGGTGATGCCGGAATAACTAGCCCCAAAAGAAACTAGGACAAACAGCCCCAGCTAATGAACGACAATCAATTTCATATTATATGCCATTAAAAAAAAGAAAGACTTTTTGTTCATTTGGTGGAATTTATGTAGCTGCTGCAGTTTTTGCTAAGACTCCCAATCCCCCAGCATTATCATTAGCTAACCGTTATTGGTACACAATTCTCCCTGCTGCTCAGGATATCCATGATAGCCAGGGCCACCAGTGCCATAATAATCATCGCTATAATCAGGACTAGCATATTTATTAATGTGTTGCTTAATTGGCTTGTTTCCCTAAATATAAAAAGGGAAATAAAACACTACGGCCTTTTGTGTATTCAGTAGACCGCCGTGCTCGAGGGTGCGATTCCTCCCTACGACCTTTGTTTAATCATCCACTTCCTGCTAATCTACGTAACACTGCAGCAATGCAATGAAGATAATCTGAAATAAACTCAAACATTAAATTGGGTTGGATGAATTTAAAAAAACGTGGACTTCACCTTTTGGTGCCTCCGTTGAATGGAGCAGTCTCTCTCGTAGAGGTGGACGACGTTACCGTATTTATCGCCTGGGGAGAGAGACAAAGAGAGAAGTGGGTGAGAAAATGACAATAACAAAAGAATACGAGAGAATGATCAGGGGTGTTGAGAAAATGAGTGGTTGAATTCACAAAAGGGGGGAGTAAAATAAACATGTATTGGTGCACTCTAGTACAACCGATGGCCCCTTTAGAGCTCTGTCAACACAACTCAACCTGCAGCACCTATTCACACATGTGCTGGCTTCAAACCAACAAATCTGTACGGAGCATGAAAAGACATCTTCAGTGTGAAAAGACAGATGGTTCAATCTGCTCCGGCCTGCAAGGCAATGTCCATGTGACGGACGGAGGCATCGTTGGGCTTCTTTTTGGTAGCATTCTTGCTAGCTGGACCACATGTACGTCGTGTTTTCAGAAGCCACAGTTGAGGCTCCCTTCATCAGCAGACTTAAATGTCTTCAACTATCACAGATTTTTTCCCGTAAGTGCTTTAATGTGCCGGGAGTCCAGCAAAAGACTGGCCGGGAAAATGTGTGATAATAAAAATAAAATGTAAGCACAGCCCCCACAAAATATTGTGTTTATTAAAAATGATGCTCTCAGCAAACTGTAAAAGTCCCATTTTTGACTTAATTTAAAAACAGTGCCAGCACTACAGCCAAAGACTATGTTTTGTGCTGAATTTTGAATACGACAGCAGGGCAAAGTCATACTGCGAGTTAATGACATTCTTTTCCCCTTTTACTTTGTAGCGCAACAATTTAACGCTCAATCTAACATGCATCAAAATTGATATATAGTCAAACACGGATTGCGACCAAGCACCTATGAGACCCGCCTCACACGGTATGACCTGACAGATCGCCTACATCGCACTGTGTTTAAAAGCCTAACAATAAAAAGAGGCTGAAGGAAAGTTGAGAGAAAACGCAAAGGCATAGGAGACTAAATGAGACAGGGGCAGGTTGAGAGAGGAACAAGAGAGAGGAGGGCAAAAATAACAAGGGAAGATTTAAAAAGGGGGGGGACTGAAAAAACAGTGAACTGAAAGTGAAGGAGGGAGGTGTGATAAGAGAGAAGGCAAACAAAAAACAACAGGCTGGCAATGACACGGTTTTAACAGGTAATTCACAAAATCCCTCACACGGAGAACTACAACACGGTGAACACTGAAACACGCACAGACGTAAACACACGACCCACAGACAGACGTACGCCCGATAAACGTTTACAGTAATGCACACCAGAACATGAACGCATTCACATGCACCGTACAGTAATGTTCAAAGTGCAGATACACTTCCTGTAAGTGTCAGTGTTGACTTTCTGTTGTAGAATATTGAGCGGTAGTAGAGTTACGTTGGCTCTGTGGAGGAGAAGTAATGGCTGCTGGAGAATCCTCTGCTGGCTAATAAAGCTCGTTCACTCATTGTTCGGCCGTCTCTCTCTTCCTTTGCAATAGCGCAGAGTTCAAGGACTTCTGTGCTTCCTTAATGAACTTAGATCAATTCACATAAACAAAAGAAACGGACGCATAGTTAGAAGCAAACACAAGAGGAAGTCGTAAATGCACTTACCGAGGATCTGTACTTCAATGTGTCTCGGCTTTTCAATAAACTTCTCAACAAACAGGGCTCCGTTCCCAAACGCCGACAGGGCTTCAGAGTAGGCCCGCTGGTAATTCTCCTCAAGTTCCTGACAAACAGACGAGAAAAGAAATCCATACACGTCTCACTTAGTGCCGCTATTCAGGAAGCAAGAGAGTCACAGCAGAGGATTGGTGGGGTTTTTAAGGGGGTTTTGGTGCAGCACAGACGAGATTTCAAAATCCTTTAAATCTCGGTTAGTCAGTTTCATTTAGAATAACTTATATTTACACATTTATTGTCCGACATTCATTTCCCTGTCATTCACATGTGATGCGCAAATGTCTTTAGGTTTTTTTGTTTCCTTTCTTTTGACACAAATGTTCACACCCCCCTAAGGGAGCAAGAGTCTACATGACATCTCTGGGACCCGGTTTTGGGAGGTCATGAGCGAGCACGCTGGGGGTCATGACACGATCTGTTTTTGTCAGTCTGTGACGCGACGCCCATCCAGCCTCCTCTAGTGGGGAACGACCGAGTCACCATGACGCCCCCAGGAGAGAACACACAAGCCCATCTTCATCTGTCGTCTCAGAGCCTGGAGAGAAGAGGCTCTTGGAGGCAAAAAACAAGCTTCTCACAAACCTCGACCAAAAACGGGCGTGAAAGGAAAGCGTGAATCTCACCGATTGACCAGAGATTGTACCACTGTGTAAAAAAAAAATGATTCTAAACTGTCCTACATCTGATCAGACCAGATGGACACCAATAGGAAGGAGATAGTGCCATCAGGCACTAACTCATTAGATGCAGTACCGTGCATTCCACTCACAGGGGTCTATTCATTGGCTTACAGTAAGTAATGATGATTTTGTATCATAACTCTAGGTCTATGAACACAGGAAGGGCACTCCAACAGGGCTCTATGTATATTTAACTTCCAGAGATACTACATATCAACTGTGCAATCTTAATCCCTCTGTTCCTTTCTCCCATCGTCTGGATTCATGATTGAACGGGTTTGCAAAGTGCTAACCTAAAACAACACAAACTAGTGTTTACTTACATAAGCACTTGACAAAGTAGAATGTCTACAGTCGTCAGTTTATGGTCAGAAAACAATGGCTTCTACAACTGTTGAAGAAATAACCCTCATAATGAAATAGCCATTTATAAAAAGCAACTTGAAACAACACATACAACTTGCACTAAATTATAAGTGTCGGCGATGTAATTTGAAGTCGCACACCGAGCAAACTTGTCAAAGCACTGATGCAGCTCCATTTCTGTAAATGACTTTTTGAAAGACTAAAGTTGGCTGAATTCCATTTGCACTCCCTCCACATCCGCTGGGTCCGTCTGTCAGTGTTGGTCACTGGAGCTCTGATATGTGCCGTTCTCCTGTTCTCCTACTCTTTGGGAAAGCACATCACGTCAAACCCTAAACAAATAAACCTTTAATTACGCCTTGCTTATCAGTAAACAAACACATCTCCACCTACAATATGTTGCGGATAGTCAAGCTCACTCTGGTTATTCTGCATACAAATGACCCCACGAGCTGGCCTTAATGGAATACAAAGGCAACCTATGCATTGTTGGTCGGGGTCCCAGCAGTGCAGAGAAACCTCTACACAATTTCCTCACATCGTATTAGCAGGAGCCGCCGAGGCCCCTGTGACTCAGCTGAACGACTATAAATGTCAACAACTAATTAATTAGACCGGGGTGCGACTCAGAAAAGGTCACGCTTTCAAATGGTTTGTTGACTTGTGAGGCTCAGTGACTACATTTTGCTTGCGTAGATCAGTGAGTAAGGCCGAGTTTGAAAACTTGCCACTTCCTGGTGTCTTTGAGCCTGCGGCAGTTCATTTTCCCTTTGAGACACATTTTTTTGATTAAATCATCCACACAAGGACATTAAACCCCTTTCTCGTGTATCAGTGTTCTGGCGAGATTTCCGGTTTTATTTCACAATTTGCAATATTTTGTAATAGAAAATCCTAATTACCCTACCATTGAACCATGGAAGTTGAAATGGTATTATTGGACCTGCTTGGCCCAGTTTTCCAATAACAATCACAGGTTAAGAGCGTTTTCCTCGGCGGTTTAACGCATTGAAACGTTTAATTTTCACAAGCTTCTCCCAATACGCTACTTATTTAACCATCTGTAAGCAGTACGATTAAATATAGATACATAGATGAAACAAGCATAATGAAAATTGTCATGCATAATTTATGAGGTAGCCTCTAAAACAGTGTTTTTTTTTTAGTTTAAAAGAGACCAAGTGTGCCTTTCTCCTTCTTGCTCTTGTTTGGAGTAGATGCCGGAAAAAATGTAGAGCAAACCTGCAATCTGGAGGTGACAGATCACACAGACTTTGACAGCATGCGAGTCAGCCATGAAATTGTTATTTCCATGAGAGACTTGCATCAGAAACCAGACATCTTATAACCAAGACCTACTTACACAAACTATGTATAACCAGCAAAATAATAGGAAGGCATGGGAACTTAAAATTGAAGAAGCTGGTATTAAAAGGGTCATGTCGACCAGGTAGAATTAATCCAGTTTCATATTAGCGTCATTTAACAGCAAAACTAAATTATTACTAGGTCAATTCTAGAGTAACTTGACCCAAAAAGGTCCAAGTTTTGGTGTTGGTGATGATGCTGTGTGGTCGTCACTGTGACAGCTATTGTGCCAGCCCATCATCGCTCATGGGCGAGAGGAGGGAGATGAGGAGGATGGTGATGGTGGGTTTCCTCCCTACTGCTTTTCATCTCCTGATCCTATTTATTTATGCAGTGCAATGCTTTTTTTATATGTCAGGGTATTTTATCACATAAAGATTGCTCATGTTGGATACTTGACACACATGTAAGACGCATTAGATTAGCTTTTTACGATCATATACATTGAGACGCTGTTTGAAAAGTGGCCCCTGGACAGCTACAATATTGAAAGACTTTATTTTCTTAACGTCCTCTGAGAATGGGCCTCCATCACACGGAAATCTCTCTGAAATTGCTTCCGTCATCCCAGAGTACACACACCAAAACACACAGGGTGATTGGCAGCCAGATAGATGGACGACCAGGTTGAAATGAATATGAGAAGGAAGACTCGTCATGAGGCGGGCAGGCCGGCCGTCGGAATTGGGTTTGTTTTCGGGACATTAGAGCAAGCCGTTACATTGAATCTCTCACAGAAGTGATGTTGTGCAGCTCACCTCATACTCTCGGACCACCCTCATGCCACGACCGCCTCCTCCGTAGGCCGCTTTGAAGATGACGGGGAAGCCATACGTTTCGGCGAACACCTGCGCATCCTGCAGGCAGGAGATGGGGGCATCTGTTCCTGGGACCACAGGTACACCTGGACGAAGTAAAAGGAAACACAAGTGAGAAACACGTTACTTTAAAGATTCTGAAAGCTGTGCTTTATAGCAGTAAATGCTTAGCGCATTCATTTAGAGGGATAAGTCATATATCATGTGAGAACACCAGCAACTACTTTCACACCGCATTAGAGTCCGATAAGGTCAAATTGTGTTTTACGGCAGCAGCAGGAAACTGCTTTATAGCTCAAAATGAGGGCTGAATATGAATAGAGCTGAATTTTTCACCGTTTCTCGCCGTGGCAGATGGAACGAGTTATAGGCTGAAAAATATGGTCTAAAAATGTACACCCCCGACAGACATAATTAATGCTTGGAGAGTAAAAGCCTTCCGGCGTCAGACTCCAGCAATCATCTTGTCTTCGGTCTCAGTGGTACAATTATTTGATGTTACCAAAATACGAGCCGCGTCACGGCAGGTGTTTCCGTACCTGCACTGATGGCCAGGGAGCGAGCCTCCACCTTGTCGCCCATCTTGCGGACCGTTTCCGGTCTCGGTCCGATAAACCTCACCCCTGCGTCCTGGCAGGCCTGCGCAAAGTCTGACCGCTCGGACAGGAAACCGTAGCCTGGGTGGATGGCGTCCACATTGTTGTCCTGAGAAGTGAGAGAGGGATACATGCTCACATTCATTACATTGTTTTGGACCTTTTGACTTTGGCATTACTGCTTATAAACACATCCCACTGAAGATAATTAAACTGAGTCCAATATTCAACACCTACTTGCTTTAACACATTCTTTTTTTTAAATTCACATTTATTCTCAGGTTTTGTGCAAAACTATTTGCCGGTGGAACCCAGAGAAAGGAAATGTTGCCCAGCTAAGCAACGGGAGTTCTGTTAAATACAGAGCCACCACGGGGCCCCGGTTAACACTTGGCTGCCTACCGGTGAGGGAAATAACAAGTCATCACACATAAACCTACCTGCGCACTTTAACCACACGCTGTCTGCTGGCCAGCGAAAAGGACGTACGCATCAGTTACGGCAAAGGGACTGTGAGCTAATGACACACTTTATTCTCATTCCATCTCGGTTGCAATCGCCTTAATCATCATCTACTCAATGGACGCCAGCGGGAAACTGAGCGAGTAGACAGGCACACATAATCTGAGGGTCAGGGGGAAGGTACTGTGAGGAACACGAACACACACACACACACACACACACACACAGGGTAGCAGACAGATACAGTAGCTGCCGAGCTTGACAGATAGAGCCATCTTTACATCAGTATGTGCCATCTGCTCTTGGATACGAGGCGGACTATAATTATGGGCTGTCCCGTTGTTAAGGGAGCTGTTACTGGCAGGCCAGAGGAGGCATGAAGCCACACACACACACACACACATTTTCACATGCAAGGTCACACACAGAAGGTACTGGGAAAAAAGCCTTGGATGGTTATTTTGGTCACACAGTTACAGAGTGACAGACGTGTGAAGAAGAGGTACACATACGCCAAATGTGAAAGAGTGAGAGCAGGAAGAACACACAGGAACACACAGGAACACACAGGAACACACAGGAACACACACTTTGCTGGCATGGGGTGGCTGGGCTCCCAGATATGCAGAAGGATTTTTGAGAAATGAGTTAGATGGCGGGCGGCTCCTGACTTGGCTAGCTGACCACATGCCCACGCAGAAAATGATGAACCATGAGAAATTGATCGGAAAAAAGTGATAACGAACAACTGGCAGCTCGTCCTGGAGGAAGGAGGGAAGACAGGTCGGAGAGGATCGGAGGTAAGAAGGGACCAGATCCGATCTAACGCAGTGAAAAGTGGCAGAGGGGAGAGAAGGAGAGAGAGAAAGGGAATGATGGAAGAGGGAGTTCGCAACAAGGAACAGGAGGAAAGGGAAAAGAGGGGCCAAGGAATGATGAGCAAAGGGAAGGAGACAAGGAAGAGATGAACAGTGTTTGAGGGATGGACAGAGAGAAGTCGTTTTCTTTTCCTTCCTTCCAACCAGGCTAAATATAGACCTAGGGTGAACAGAAAGGAATAAAAGGGATCTGCCTGTCTCTTGTCCGTCTACTTTGATGCCACTGTAATTTGTACTGCCTCAATGACAGCTTCCAACTTCAGGAAGGTAGATGGGTTTTCCTAAAAGATCAAAAGCAAGGTGAACCAGCAACCAGTATTTTACCTACTGTAAAAACCTAGGTTGAGAAAACAAAATCTAGTTTATATCCTGGTTGAACTATATGAAGCACTTAAAAGTGCTGTGTAAATAAAGCTTATTATTATATTGTATTATTATTATGCTAAGTTACATAATTGACTACTCCAGCTCTGCAATGAACGCACAGACAAGAGATTGAAAGCAAATCAGCAAAGTGTTGAACTTTTCCTTCAATGCACAATCAAGACATATTATATTTTGGTTAAGTTTTTGAACGTGGAGAGACTCCATCTCATCAAAATCTGAAGGCTACAATTGCCACCACTTCACCATGCAAGATGGAGCCAACGAAGTGAAGTGTATGCTGCGTATATGTTGTCCTGAGATCAGCCAAGGCACAAGCTTTTCATTGTATGAAAATGCCCTGCATTATGACTTCCTTGAATACTTACCCATGTTTCCATTCTAAGAGATGTGTTAAAAGGCTTGGGGGGACCTGGCAAAGGCATTCAATAATATATTTGTGGAAATGCTGGATCCTACGCTTACCGTGGTGAAATTTAGTTAAGTCTTTTTTGTGAGATCGTCCATGCCCATGTCTCAAAGTGCACCCCCCCCAGTTCTTAACGCTGGCTGTCCGATAACAAGTTGCAATCTTCAAAGCCCAAGCCGAGAAAACCCTAATGACATCACTAGGGATATGTTCCCAGACTTTAGAAAGCTCCTCCAGGGCCACAGAGGTCATTAAGCATTAAAACTACTCTCACAGGCCGAGTATTCACCAGGACGAGGAAGCTAAAGTTGAAATGTAATATCCCTTTTTCCCTTTAAAGTTTACCCTAAAAGCAAACACTGAAGGGTTATTCTTTAACGGGAAAAACACTTCTTAACATCTGTTACCTTGGCTACTTGGATGATGTTTGGAATGTCCAGGTATGCCGCAACAGGTGCCAGACCTTTTCCAATTAGGTAAGCCTCATCTGCCTTCTGCCTGTGAAGACAAGGGCAAAGGATGTAATTTCAGTGTGATGGGAAGGCGGTGGGTGGGGGGGGGGGGTGGCAGCAAAAGCAAACAAAACACACAGATGAGCACCAGCTCTCAAGCACACAACCATTAGGCGGCATATCCAAGCTCAGTCGGGAGTGGGCACCGGTACTTAGTCAAATGAAGCCTGTTTTAATTACTCAAATGAGTCCTCCAATCAGCCTTCTTTGGGCTTATGTTTTATAAGGAGGAGGGAAGATAGGCAGAACCAGGTGGTGCAGGTGCATAACGAGCTTTATTAGTCAAAGAAAGACATGTTAAAAGACGGGAGGCATTAGAAAGTCAGGGCGGAATAGAGAAAGCTGACAGTGGGGCAGATTAGAATGTTGTGCATGTAAACTAAGCAGAGAGATTGCCTGAATGCTCGGAATGTCAATACAATTATACTTATGTCCCTACTTAATACCGAGCGCCAAACAGAGAACTGGCCGAAGGCACTGGAGAGGAGAGAAATGCTCCCTCAAGCTTCCCTTTAATTGCGGTTGGCTCTAATCAATTGGTCGATATTCTGCAGCGGCAGCCCAGCAGTTTACCGAGACATCTGTCTGTTACGCTTCCTTTTACTTAAACCTGTGCGGACCCCATTGGGCTCCAATGTAGCAGAGCTCAGCACCTGTGCATTTGTCCGGTGTCTTGCTCGGAGTAGACGGCCACGGTTCGAATCCCCAGTTCAGTGCAGGCTCTGAAGACGCGGATGGCGATTTCACCTGGAAGAAGAGAGGAGGACAAAGCGTGGTCAGCGGATGGTGCAGGACGTGGTTATTTGACTCATTTGCTCTGCTTCATTTTGCCAAACCGGTTTCCTCTTCCTCCCTGAATGTTGCTCTTCCTCTCTTATTCTCTATAATGTTTAGATGCGTCTTTACTTTTGATCCACAGTTTAGCAGATTGTGTGTAGCGGGAGGTTGTAGTTCTTATTCTCTCATCTATTTTTTACAAACACACACTTTAGATGATTTTTATCAACATCCTGTGGCATTGGCCCTATTTCGCGACAAACAGTTTCCGCTGAGAGAATAAAATAAACTTTGATTTTCTTTACACCACACATGAAAACAAGACAAATCCATCTGGTTTGCTTCATCAAACCGTGCAAAATATCAACCGACACTGCAATAAGTCTGCCGTTTCTTCTAAAGTTTGAGAAGAGTGTAAAATCTCTGCTCTAGACAAACAAAACACTTGCCTGCCTTTCATCTTGCTGTCACTGGAGCCAAATACTGGTTTTATTAAACAACACACATTCCGGGAGAGAAAAAAATAAAGTTTTGTCGACTAGTAAGATGTGTTGCTTGAAAGGGAGGACAGCATTCAAATGATTGAGGACTGCGTTGGAAACAGAGAGAGTGCAAGAAAGAAAGTGAATTCTGGAGAAGGACAACAGTAGGGACATAAAAAGGATGGAAACATGAGGACGGAGAGGAGAGGACGCACCACGCAAATGAAATGTAATGGATTCAAGGTGAGTAATCTAGGGAATGGAAGGTGAGGAAATACAAAACATATAGACAAGAACAATGCGAGAAGAGAAAAAGGACAAGAGAATTGAGGTACCAAAAGAATCACAGTTTGGCAAGTTTGACAACATGACGAATAAGTGGAGAGGAGACAAGAAGGGCGGTGGAGGGGGCAAGGAAACGGGAGCTAACTCTGAAAGAAAGACAGCAAGGGGCTCAGAGGAAAATCACATCTGACAAGTGCGGAAGAAGACAGGGAGAGCAAGCGAAGGGAGGAAGGAGAGAGGAGGTAAGAGGGGACGAGGAGAGCAGAAAGGAAAGGAGAATATTAGTGAAAAGACCAGAGAAGCAACGGCGAGAGAGGAGATGTGCTTGGTGAAGTGGAATACGGGCTGATATGATGCGATGGTCCAGTCTCTCTTTTCATCACACATGCGCACTGAAGCCGAGCACGGTCCAGTGCGCTGCAGTGTGATGAATGTGATCTAATGCGGTGTTGATATCGCGTCACGCCGATGTGAGGGAGAGAGATTGACGGAAAGCCCTGCTGTGTCTCAGAGAGTGTGTGTGTGTGTGTGTGTGTGTGTGTGTGTGTGTGTGTGTGTGTGTGTGTGTATATATATATATATAT